GATTTAAAAGGATCCAATTAGGTGGACAAACATCATTCCATCCTTTCCACTCCCAAGATGGTTTTCCGTCTAGCGTGTGGAACCTTAGCTTTTATTGCGACCGCTCAGGCATCCGTCTGGCCGTCGCCGCAACTCGATGCGCTCGAGGCGGTACGTTTCGACCAGCTCGGCTTTAATATGCTTACTGCTACTCTTGCGACGTTCGTCCAACCCTGCAATCTCTTCCTCCTCGACCCCACCATAGGCCCCAACAGTGGGCGATCCGACGCTGCCGACTGGATACGCACAGTAGGATTTAGCCTGGCATGTTTTATTTTAACACCTGATTTCATGTAGGCCTACCATGACGCGGCAACACACAACTCAACGGACGGTACAGGAGGCATGGATGGCTCCATCCGTTTGCCGGCAGAGCAAGCGCGCGCCGAGGTGTGTTGGACGGATACTACGCTGGGCCGATTGGCATTGACAAAGCCAGAATGCCGGAAACGGTTTCGCCAATACCATGGGCATCGTGTTGGCAGTAGTCGACCGCTATGTTTCTAGTAAGTCGCCAGATGGAATATGACACACGGTACTCAATTGACGTTGTCCGCGCAGATGCGGACGCCATCGCTCTCGGAGCCCTCATCGCGATTGAGACTTGGTAAGTTGGGTTATTTTCAAGCTCCTTGAGGTCGTCTCACCTGCGACCGGAATATAGTGGGGGTCCTGAAATCGCCTTCCGCGGTGGACGCGTGGACGCCGCGGCGCCCAACGCGCCCGGTGTACCTGCACCGGAGCAAGGTCTGGACTCGCACATAGCTGCCTTTGCTCGACAGGGATTTACGCAGACTGAGATGATTGGCCTGGTGGCTTGTGGGTGCGTCGTAATATTCTAACTGAATGGCCACTCCTATCTACATCGCATTCTTCGTAGGCACACCTTCGGCGGTGTTCAGCACAGTTTCTTCCCAAATACCGTGAATGTATTAAATGACCCGACCAGCACTGATAACGTAGCGCATTTGACTCGACGTCTGATACCTTTGACAACAACGTGTGCGCGCAATTCACTTGGTCGAATTCAAACTGTCCCTGACCACTCTGCAGCGCGGCGGAATATATTGCTGGCACTACAAAAAACCCACTGGTCGTTGGGTTCAATGACACCACCAATTCGGATAAGCGCATCTTTGGCAGCGATGGGAACGCCACTATGCTCTCGTGAGTAGGTGGATTCTTTGACGTAATATATCGTTTACCGCGCAAAGATTCGCCAATTCGCCAGACCTCTTTGCATCAACATGCGCGGATTTGTTCGCGCGCATGTTCGATACAGTACCCAGTGGTGTAGAGCTTACCGACGTGATAACACCCCTGCCCGTGAAGCCCTCGTCCGTGAAACTCATCATGGATGGTGACAGTTTGAAAGGATGGGCAAGGTCGCCGGTTTTATTTTTAGAAAAAAACAATAACAAAAAAGTCAGCTCTAAAATGAGCCAATTCGGACGCTGAGAATCGAACCCATGTTTCCCGCATCAGTGGCTGGAGACTTCTGTCTTAGCGGGAGCAGGTGTGCACCATGCACCACATCCGAGTTACCCTACTGCTTTCGTGGTTCGATACATAGGTAAGTCTGAACGTGGGGTGAATTGCAATTATTAACCCTTGTTCAATCTCGCGAACAGCGCTGCGGGTGACTCCCAGATCTCAGCTTGGACTCGGACAAATATATCATGATCTCCGCAGATGGAATGCGAGAATCGACATATGGGAGCCTGAATCGTGAGAATCTGGAGCGAGGAAAGCACACGTACTTTGAGAGCATGCAAAGGGTGAACTGATTGCTGGTATTTTCTCCGCAAGAAAAAAAACAAGTTCTCGAGGCCGAATTCAAGCGCCGGGAGTCGAACCCAGGACTCCTGCTTATTCGTTGGTCATCTTTTTCTTATTTCAAGCGGATGTGCACCGTACACCACATCCGAGTCGTCTTCTCTTATTTGTGGTTGGACATACAGGCAAGATTTGTGCAGAGATCAACTGCAACGCTGACTTCCGACTTCGACAAACATATATCTCTGCGGGAATCACGACATATGGGATAACCGCTTATGACGATCTCAGCGAGGAAACAAGAGGATGAAGGACGATTCGAACAGATCACTGCTTAAAAAATGGAAAACGAAAAAAAAACCCAATCAACGAATCACTAGTTCGGACGCCGGGAATCGAACCGAGCTCTCCTGCATCAATGATCGCAACATTCCTGTAGGCGTGCACCATGCACCACGTCCGAATGATGTTCTAGCTTTGGTGGCTGAATACATAGGCAAGATTTAAGCCCTCGAACAGCGATGACTTGGACAAATATATCTCCGCACCTGGATGGAAATACGCTGAGCTTCAGCGTGAATGGTAAGAATTTGGAGATGAGACTGAGGAAAGCACACGTACTTTGAACTGACTCATTACTAGTTTCTCCGAAACAAATGTCTTCTGGAACGCTAGGAGTCGAACCCAGGTTTCCCGCACCAGTGGCTAGAAGCTTGTGTGTTAGCCGGAGCAGGCGTGCACCGTGCACCACGTCCGAGGTATCCTCCTCCTTCGGTGGTTGGATACCTGTGCAACCGTTGCGCATGTGAGGAAACATCACGAATAATTTGAACACTCGTACTTCGCTCGGCTCGTATCCTTTCGATATCTGCTTCCACCCACACTTCACCTGCTAGCCATCGACGAAAACGCAGACCTAAATATTGACTCCGGACGCCCAAATGCCAGTGTATATGTATACACACAACAATTTATTGTCCATGGAACGAAACAAGAAGAATCAATGAATGAATGATACAAGATACAATTGTTAGGGCTTGAATGTGGGTCGAACGTGGTGGTACTCCTCGAGGTGCTACAGGTACTACAGGTATACTATGTATGTGCGTGCGTGGAGGTAGGTATGTATGTAAGGCGGAATTATACGGTGTCTATGTACAATGTGAGGATGCGGAGCGGGGATGTAGAGCGGGGATGTGGGGAGTGGGGTGTGGCGGGCGGGGATGTAGATGTGGTGTCGCGGATGACGGTGTCGCAAGGCGGGTGCAGGGTGTAGATGTGTGGCGCAATGATAAACGGATTCGGGACTCTTGGAGATGGAGGCGCGGCGTCGACAACACAACGCGCACCTCACGCACCTCAATACGACCTCCCCCGACTCAAACTCCGCCCCTTCCCGTCCCTGCTGCTACTCTCCCTGCTCTCTCTCCCATTCGTATCCCTTGTATCCCGACTCGCACTCCTCTCCTCTTCTCCCACCCCCACCAAACCCAAACATCCTCTTCAACAACGGCACCTCCTTCGTCGGGCCCCTCACCGCCTGTGGTTGGTTGAACAGCGCAGGATGCATCTGCAGTGCTGGCGCGCGCGCGTACCCCGGCCCCGGACCCGGGGGCGCGGTAGCCCGGCGCAGGATGGTAGACGTACCCCTTCTGCCCCGGGGCGGGGGCGGGATACAGATACGTGCTCGCGCGCACGGGCCGCGGCTGGGGCGCGAGCGGGGCCCGGAAAGAGTAGCTCTGCGTGCGGATTGGCTGGGGTGCGGATTGGGACATCGGTATTGACATAGGCAGGGGCATTTGGGCAGGAGGGAGCGCGTACGCAGGCGCGGCGGGGTAGAACGCTGGTTGCTGTTGTTGTTGCTGCTGTGGTGGTGCTGGCGGGAAAGAGGGGAGAGGTGGTGTTATGTGCCGTAGAGTGCTCCATGAGCACGGGATGTGGCGGGGGCGGGGAGCGATACCGTCTGCGCGGTCTGTCGCCGTGCGGTATAGAGCGGGGTGAAGGTGGTCTGCTTGGGGCGTGGATGCAGTGAGGTGGCTCCGTTGGCCGATGCGAGCAGTAGTGCTACCCCTTCAAGGTCGTCGCGACTCACCAGCTGGAGCGTGCAGTTCTACCGCTCCAAGACTCCCTCGTATTTCATCCTGCAAATTTTGTCTAGACTCTGCCATTCCGTGACGTGTTCCGAATTCGGTCTTTTCGGTTCCCTTGAAGCCTGGCGCGCAGATCGATCCGGTCTTTCCAGAGTGGTCGAGGACAGCCAGAAACAGCCCACGACGAGTGAATGGAGGAGACTCAGCAGAGCGCCATCCGATTGATTGACAGCTTCCTTTTCGGGCGCCTCTGGCTGTTCCGAGGTCCTCCGAGTCTTCCCGACTAGCGCGAGGCCTGTCGTTGGCCGCATTCTAAGGAATGTTAGTGAGTTACAATTTTAGAAGACTGTCGGGCGCTACGCTACTAAGTATTTATTCAGATAGCGGGAACATTGTTCTAGCCCGGGATTCTCTCCACTCACTGGATTCGAATCACGAAAAGCGAGTACATCACGTCCAAGGTGTTATTCTTCCCCAAGAATACCAGTGTTCAACGAGCTACTGTCGCTCCAGTTCAAAGTTGCCACCTTCAAATTACAACGATTCAAGCCACAGCCGGGCAACGTGCTCTGAAATAACCCAATGGGATGTGAATGAAATGGGAAAAGAAAGCTCTAGAGAAGAAAAAAGAGCTGAAGAATCGACGCAGACCATTCGGACAGCGGGAATCGAACCCATTATTATACATCAAATTTGGGCAAGCGAAAGGGGAGTGCGCCATGCACCACGTCCGAGTTACGCGCTTTGGCTCTGCACGAGTTTAATTTCATACCTCTGGTGCTTTCTGCGCGGGGTGCACAGGTTGGGCCGGAGATGAGACTTAAGACGGCCGCGTGAACACGACTCATTTCCATCCTCTGAGTCGTCACTGTGACGACTCAGAGGATTGAAATCAAGATGCCTCACCAAACCCCTTGTACAAATTGGCCATGGGTCAGTGAAAATCGGCGTGAAATATAGTTCCCGTCTTTTCTATACAAATTTATGGTTGAACTGCGTTTGAGGGTCAGAAACCCATCAAAGACCTGGACAGCAAAATGAAGGACCAGGAGTTGACAGTGCAGACAGAAAATATAAAACCACTGAAGAACACTATTCGGACACCAGGAATCGAACCCGGTGCTCCCGCCTAATTGATCAGCACTCATCGATGAAGAAAGGCGGGTGTGCACCGTACACCACGTCCGAGTTGTTGTCTTTATTCTTCGGTGAGCTAAACACCATTGTCTAGAAGACATACCCTCTGCATACAGCCGTATTTTATTTCTGGAAGTTGAACGAGTTGGTTGCCCGAGAAGCCGGGCGGTCTGGATAAAATCCTCTGATGCGGACGCAGATATAGGTGGAGAGAGTGGATGAGGAGAACAAAAACAAAAAACAAAAAAAAATCAGGGAAACGCATGGCGAGATGTTCGAACGCCGGGAATCGAACTCGGTGCACCCGCTCACGAGATATGGGATAATTGCTTGAGAATGACGGGAGAAAGTTTGGAGAACGAGTGCTGAAAAGCTGCACTGATTTCTGGGTTTATTTTCCTTTCCTTTCGCTAGACCGTCTTTAAAACGGGAACTCGGACGCCGGGAATCGAGCCCAGGACTCCTGCTTACGTGTGTTGGGTTTATGTTGTGAGTAATTGCCAGCGGGCGTGCACCATGCACCACATCCGAATTGTTCTCCTGGTTTCGTGGCTGCATACCTGGGAGATTGATTTGAGCTGGAGATTGACAATCAAGCTCGCGAACAGCCAGATCAGCTTGTGCACCTTCATATGGGATGATCGCTCGAGAGAATCTGAGAACAAGTGAAGGTTGTACCGGTCGAACTTTTTTGCTAGTTTTCCAAAAAGAAAAAGCACACCTTGAGCAAGATAGTTCGGACGCTGGGAATCGAGCCCCCCGCTTCGTTAACCACGGCAGGCTTCTGCATTGCAAACGGGCGTGCACCATGCACCATGTCCAATGTATCTTCTACGTTTTATGGTTGGATATACAGGCAAGATCTAGAGCAACTTGTCAATGATCAACCTTGGACAGAATATCTCCGCACCTCCCGGCGAGGATAGAATCCAGAGTGAGAATCTAGAAATCGATGAAGACACCCTTTGAGCTGATTGCCAGTTTCCAAAAAAAAAAACCACTTTTCAACGCTTAATTCGGACGCTGGGAATCGAACCCGGGTCTCCCGCTTTTAAAGTATTCTCATCATTCTACATTGCGAGCGGGCGTGCACCATGCACCACGTCCGAGATATCCTTTAGCCTTCGTGCTTGAATACACAGGCAACATTTGAGCGGAGATCAACTTCCACACTGACCAATTCCGCATCTCCTCCCATTGAGGACGGAGTCTCGTAATGTGGGACAGCAAAGAAAGAACACTTACTTTAAATGGATGGACGATTTGAACTGATTGCTAGTTCACTTTTTTCCGAAAAAAAATACCCAGTGCTTGAATCCCCCAGTTCGCACGCGGGAAATTGAACCCAGGTCTCCCGCGTTACTGGAAATGAATGTGCAGCTCATTCCAAGCAGGTATGCACCATGCATCACATCCGAGTTATCCTACCCCATTCGTGCTTAAATACCTGACCAGCTTTTCCGCATGTGAGGAAACATCATGAATCAACAATAACGTGAACATTTAAACCCGACTTGCCAGTGTCCGCTATGAGCAAGCAAGTACATGTACAGTATCAGTATTTCTGAGTGATGTGGCCTCTCGATGGGGGAAAAAAACCGGAATTATTTCAGCCCTAGTTCGGACGCTAGGAGTCGAACCCAGGTCCCCCGCTTTAGTGGTTGCTATACATCACAACGATCGTGTGTGCCCCCTGCACCAGTCCGAATTATCCTTGACCTTAGCTGGTTGAATGCATAGGCAAGATTTACACTGACAATATCTCTCGAACAGCGCTGACTTGCAGCTTGGACTTCAACTTGGGACAAATATTCATCTCTGCGCTTCCCAGCGAGGGTGGAATCTCAAAATATTCGGGAGTGTGAATAGTGTGAACACTTAGCAAGAGGAGTCAAGCACTTTGAAACGATCGACAAGGTCTGGCAGAGACTACATTTCGGACGCTGGGACAGGTATCCCGCATGTAGAAGGGTTTGCTACTGCAAGCGGGTGCTGATTGAATGCATAGGCAACATTTAAGCTCGCGAACAGCGCTGACTTGGACAAATATCTCCGCACCTACATGGAAATACGCGAAGCTTCAGCGTGAATGGTGAGAATTTGGAGATGAGATCAAGGAAAGCACATGTACTTTGAAATGACTGCTAGTCCTCTTTTTCTCGAAAAAAATAAAGTTTTCTACACATCGGAATTCGAACGCCAGGAGTCGAACCTAGACCTCCCATTTGCTAAGTATCAGATTTGTGCCAGTAATTGCGAGCGGGCGTGCACCGTGCATCACATGCGAGGTATCCTCTCTCATTCTGAGTACGCCGTGGCTCAGACTCACTCTCATTCTGAGTATGAGTCTGAGCCACGGCGAACCGAAATTGATTTGAATATAGTACTTAGCGACTCGGATCTCTTCGATATCTGCTATGCACCTTGCCTCGCCTGCTAGCTATATCGACGAAACGCGCACCTAAATTCCGGACGCGATGCTCGACGTAGTTCAACAAGTAGATTCTCATCTTACAGTGGTTTCTTTTAATAATTTTATCCTTATCTTCATCTTCGTCTCACACACAACGAGTCTTCATTACACACGACATTTTACAGAACGAAACCAAGAAGATAGGAATGGATGATACGAGATAGAATTGAGGGAGATGTCGATGTACGGCGGAATTATACGGAGTCTATGTACGATGTGGGATGGTATGCTGGCAGCGGGGTGTCGCGGGGATGTGGATGGCTGGCGCACTTCTAATGCGACGATCCAAGCAGATGTAACGGCGGAATTACTGCACGATCGGGTGAGTCGTGGTTGAGAAGCGCGGTCGCGGCATTGGCCGCTCGACCATGCATCGGATTCTTAGGAATGGAAGCTTTCTGGGCCCGGGGTTGCGAAGTTACTATTTCAACTCAACCCAGCTACAAACTACCTCGATGCGAAGGAGTTCAAAGCAATGTTGAACCACACAAATCCCACGACTGACGCGCTGTAAGTGTGTTTAGTTTTCGATTAGCGCTGGATACAGAATGAAACCAGACCTCGCCAACACCGTGCATCCCACCAGCTGGTTCTGCAAATTTTGGAACTCTCCCTCCGTTGACCGCATTACAACGTAGGCGCGAGGGCCCAGAGCACCGTTACACCAGCAGTTGTCGTAGACGCCGGCAAATTGGAGTGTGCAAGCCAAGACAATCCATATTGCGTTCGCACCCGCTAACACCTTGGCTGCCCTCCTGAGGAGTATAGCAGCGTTGGCGGCGTATGGAAGTCCCCGATGGCGAGTTTTTCCTGGCAACGAGACAATTGAGTGGGTCAAGTGACTAGCGGCCAAGAGCATGGCCCAAACGAGAACGGAATTGAAGCAGTAGATAATATAGCTGCCGGATCGGCACCCTAAGCCTACTTTCGTCAGTGGTAAGCTCAATTCTGTCTTGAAATCTTACCTATTGGAGGGGTGAACCAGTCCGTCAGCATCGCTGACCCTATAGTGCCATAAGTAAGCAATATCGCCATCAACGAGGCTTGCAATGATCGGGATCCACCATCAGCTATTTCCCCATGTTGACCACCAAGCCGTTGGATATACGCAGCCACTTGGTCCAGCCATCCGCGACGGTTCGCTGGATTGACCCCATGACTAGTAGCTTTCTCCCAAGGAATTTTCGCATTCACGGGAATGTTGTTTTCTGCGCGGTAGGAAGCGGCACTGAATGCAGCATACATCCGTCCAACCGATAGACTCCATGGGACCATACGGGCATAGTTGTAAATCGGAGCCGTTCTCATTTCGTCCGACGTGAGCGACCCTCCTGCTTCGGCATCCAGCGATATGGCTGGCTGGTGGAGGGCGATGTCCAGGGAATCAGGCTGACCAATGTATTTGGCGAGACAGAGTTTTTGGTTAGCCCGCTCGATTGCACTATGCAGAGTCGTTCTATCACATCTGGGTGCGGCGTTTAGAGAGCAGGTCACGATTGCGAGTAGCCAGAGCCAGGCATATTCCACGGCGATCCCATTCGAATCCATGGTTTCCGACCCGATATCTGGGACACTTCAGTTGTATGACGATGGCCAAGACCTAAAAGCTCACCGAGGAAAGTCTGAAGCACCGTTAATATGAATGCCACGGCAACCCAAATGATTGAGGAAATATTGGCAAAAGACCACGTATATGAGTGCTTGACATCCAGAAAAGTCAACAATTCTGCCCAATATTGGTCGTTCTCGGGCAGTACTATGAGTGACGATAAAATGCAGTCGTCTATTGTAACTTCCAAACGGCACTTTCGGCGTTTGGATAGGAAATTTGGGAGAACTGGCGATGAATCCAGCGACTGTTCAATGTTGTCAAAGTTACAGAATACGCCGCCAGTGTCGGAGACCCCACGTTCAAGAGGATTGCCATCGCATTCTCGAACTGGGTGCCTTCAGATGACGAATGGCAATATTACCGTAACTCACCGGAGTATCTCCACCAAATGGGAGCTGAGATACCAGCGCCAGGAATGGCAAGAGCCATGTGCTACGGGTTGAGACTCCAATAGAAATGACCATGTCAGATTGTCGCACCTGAACTTCTTGGAAAAATTAAGCGTTCGCTGGGCCGTACCCCAAATCCCATGTCCACATGTTTGAAGACACAACTCCAAAGTCATGGCAGTAGCTGCTCCGGCGGATGTGACCGGGTTTCCATTATTATCTGTACCACCTGCTAGAACCCAGACGCATTCTGAAGTTCCGAGAATCTCGAGTAGCAGTCTAAAGACGCCGCGCTGCGCACCAACAGCGCGACCAAAGTAAGCGCAAGTCTTTGGCCTGTTGGTTTTCGACTGTCAGTCAATGTGACCACATGTGTAGGGGAACAGAGAAAAGCACAGACTCATAGATATTCGTATGCGCGTTCTATGGGGGCGGAAAGGAGATTACTGCCCGGCCGCGCCTCCGCTCTTTTAAACCTTATGGTGCCTGGTGTTAACGTCATCGCCTGGATACCGCCGGGCGCCCTCAACGGCTTTCAGCGGAGATAGCGTGGGAGAAGTGAGAACACCACGGATTGACTAGCGCCGTCACCACAGGCATACCCTAGACTCCCTAGACTGCTTTTGTTTTAAAGTCTGGTCGCCTGCGGCTTGTCAAGCGCAGACTCATCAGTGGACCGTAGAGACTGAACTTATTTAGTGTTTTGCAACTACTCTATTATTTCGACCGTAGATTCAGGTCACAGTCACAACCAACTTTTTTTGATGTGTCCAAAATTCCCTTAATTTAGAACAAAGTTTCTCGGGGATTTCGGACATCGATTATGCCATCAATTTTGAATCTACGGTCGAAATAATACAGTAACCAGTTCGAAATCCAATCCGTATTTTTATTCCGCCAACCCCCGAACAAACTGTGATTTCTGTTGTCCGCAACATATCGTTATTAACTTCGAGGGGCAGTGCGCACGAAGATTAGGCCGTCGAGAGCGGGAGTACATCTGTACAATTGGTGCAGGGGAAAGATTGGATTATAGACATAGCCGATTCAGATCCTAGACATTTACGATCACGGCCCCATGACGCTCAAGTGTCATCGGGGAATCAGAGCTGCCAGTGGAGTAATCGAGTGGATTTCTGAAAAAAAAAGTGCTTCGCAGAGCCTGGCCTGCGAGCGGGTGTGCACTATGCATCACGTCCGAATTATCCTTGACCTTCGCTGGTTGAATACGCAAGCAACATTTGAGCGGAGATCAGCGCGAACAACACTGACTCGCAGCTGGATCATTTTGATAAATACATCTCCGTGCCAGCGGAGATGTATTTGTCCAACAGCGTTAACTCGAGTTGCTCTGGGAGCGGATTTGGATCCAGCGGATTTGGATTTGATGTCGTTACATAATGCAGTTCGCCGATGATGCCGATAACTGATGGCAGCGATCGTAGCCAATATCGGGTACCTTCCCGCATTATGGTCAGCATTGTGTTTCCCTTTTCACCGTCGTGCTAAATCCAGTGCGGTGGCACGATGGGTCGACCCTGCTTTCGGGTTTGCAATTGGTTGGGTACGTGGACGCCTCCTTCGCTGTGGCATCGGTTGAAAACTGGTCTCACCAGTTTCGTGTGCTCGTCGTCC